GACTATTCCGCTTTGCTCGGCATGGACAACCTTAATTGAAATAGCTGTATAGTATCTCACGCTGCATTGCGAAATCACGAATTTGAGTGAAATACCGTAAAAAATCACATTATCACGTGGTACAAATGCTGTTTTTTCATTGGACAATTTGAATTGGAGGTATAATATTATAATATATCTATACTATATATGTCAATGTCACACAGTATTGACAGTAATCAGTGTAACAAGCTGTTTGAAAAATGTATATATATGTGTAACGTCAACTTGGGCAATGTAAGTTGGGCAGCGTAATTAAATATTGTATATTCTATTATATTTATTTGAAGGACTTAGGGAAGGTTATAATTTCGTTCTACATCTATATACAGTGGAATATAAGAAATTCCGAAATACGGTTAAATTTGCCAAAGCCACGAACGAATTACCTAAAACGAAGCTTTTGCTATAGTGGGGCAGTTCTTTGGTATAGTCATCCCCAAGATATAAGAAAACTACAAACATTTGCCCAATTTAGGAAAGCAATAGCGAAATATTTATATTAATATATAGTAATTAGTAATTTACCTCACTTCCACACGGCAATCTTGTAAACCAGTTCATGGTATTTTTATATTTATTTAATTTATCATACCATAGACAATCCAGAAGACATGATCATACTTACCATCTGTAAACTGAAGATTTTTGCCGTGTTTAAATAAAATTGCATTGTATTGTATTGTATTGAATAGTAATATGTATAAGCACTCACATGAATGGACCTTGGCTACGTGTTAGCCTTTTAGTAAGTAAAACGGGGATTATAAGTCAATACAATTTAAAGTATAAAAATGACAGCAAGTGAATGTCATGTAATAGCCCCGCCTAATATTTTATTTCAATGGCAGTGTTATACTAGGGCAGTTATATACAGAAGTACCAAAACTAAGGCGCTTTTTAAATTAACAATATTTCTAATAGTTTCACGCAAAAGACGAGGAACAGCCTTCTATCATACATACGTATTGAATGCTGATTAAAAAATTCCCGTGCTAAAAATTCTAACGGGTGAAAACATATTCATTTCACAGATCTAAAGCTGGTATACTTTAATTTAGGGTATTATAATTAGTTGGGCGAGACTTTTTTTATTCATTGGTTTACGGATCCGCCGACCGTAAATATTCAGAAAGTGAAAAATTAAAAATAAAAATTTGGATGTCAAAAATTTTACAATTTTCAGTAATTTTAATTAATTTGGGGGTTCTGGCATGACGTACACTTCAAGTGAACTTTGACTCTAGGTACTGCTGGCTCATGTTATCGTTGTGACAATCAATATGTAGATTAGCCATGCACGTTTTTTGCGTTTTTTTGAAATTGACGTTAAGATTATTAATTTCGGTTCTCATTTATACTCAGTTCGTTTTTGTTTTTTTAATTTTTTTCCGACCTACCGACCTCTTATTTTTAAAGTCAAATCCGTAAACCAATATATAAAAAAAGTCTCACCTTGCGGTAGTAATCGTGTGTTTATAAAATGCTCCGCCGTCCGCCTTTTATCCGTCCGCCTTTTATCTACACCCAAATATTTTATTACGTTCCGTATTGTTTAAACCTAATATCCACAATTTGGACAAGGGGCAATATTGGTGTCGCCACCTTAAGTAACTCTAGAAGGCGAACGGTTAAATATTTTGGTGCGAAAAAATGCAACGATTAACGTAATATTATGTTCATTGATAAAAAAATTTAAAAATTTGAATATTCGATTACAGGTAACGATGTAGTACCACAAAATATGATAGGGAACATTTGTTTGGGACACCCTGTATAAGACTATACAACACTATTATATACAAGATTATACAACACTATACAACGTTATACAAGACTATACAACACTATATAAGGCTATACGACACTATACCAAAAAGTAATTTTCTAAAGAAATTATTGTCTTTTAGTGTCTAAAGAAATTATTGTCTTTGATATTTTTCATCATGGCTGAATGTACAAAGCGAGAGCTTTACGACTTACGAGCAATTACCGAGCATCAGAAATCCAAATTTCTTGTATATTCTGATTCAAGCTGCATTGTTATAACTCGGTCAAGGGAACTAGCACGAGTCGTTACGTCAAAATCAGTTGTCGAGATTAGTGTGCTGCTTACGGCAGCAAAAAGAAACGAATCATTAAAATCCCACAGGAGATTTATACGTCGTCCACGGTCTGTTTACAACCGGTAAACTAGAGCTTTTATAAAGGCGGATTTCCATTCAGTGCAAAATGACGCGAGATTTTGAAATGTGTTCAGTCAACCTCATCCGTTGCGTTTGATTGCTTGTATTTCAAAAGAAAGTGATCGCAAAATGTCGATCGCGCGACGTCCTGTGTGCAACGTTTGCATTTTAGTACGCAAGAAATTGGTTCAGTATAGCAAATTGGTTCAGTATACAAATGAGGAATTTTTCTTTACAATCATTTATTTGAATGAATTTGTTTTGGCCGTCGTCGTCGCTTTGCCGTCCTACATCTTAAGGTCTCTAAAATTGTGATATGGAGAATGCTATGACGTCATGCTATTACAGGGTTCGAAGTCTCCAAGACCAAAAAAAATTCAAAGACTTTCAAAGATTTTTTCTGCCTATTGCCAAAGACTTTTCAAAGACCTTTGAGAGCAATCAGCTGTCGAAAAATTGCGATGTAGTGTATATAAGCAACATTTTTACCAAGTCCTGTAACTAGTCCCGTCAAATCACATCCTAAAATGCACTTTTTCGTTGATATTTGCGAAAATCTTGCTTCGATCAATCTATTTTATTAGCTAGGAAATCGTATAATCAAATACTCACTAAAGAATTTAAAGACTTTCTTCGCTTATTCACACAATTCAAAGACTTTTAAAAGACCTTAAAGACCTGCATTCAAATTTAAAGACTTTCAAGGATTTCAAAGAATAATATTTAAAGAGTAAAAACTGAGACGTACTCTCCACCATGTTATGACGTCATACTGAACAAACAACGGTAAAATGTTATCTCTTTGTTAGTATATTTGTTTAATTTGATTGGAAAAATCACCAGTTTCGTTTCGTTTATAAACAGCCATTTAAGGCCATGATACACGAAGCAATTTTTGCTGCAACTTGCAACGCAGTTTCTGACATAGAGCCATGTTCTTTAAACAATAGTCGCAAGGAAATTGTGCATGAACATAATTATCACACGGTTTACTCTGCCAACATTTTTCATCCATTTCTTTAATTTTTCATTCCTTAAGAATATGTTATGCAAAGAAAGTGTCGGCAGAGTAGAATCCAGGTCATGCTCATAATTTCCCTGCGACTACTTTTCTAGACAACATAGCGCTCTGGCTCATGTAACATGCATGGCCTTTAGTCACAACAAAATAGATGATTTAAAAATAAGTTGTTTTGCAATTTTCCGGCATGTTGTGCATGGTTTATCATAAATTTCGTTTGTTTCGGCGTTTCGATTTTTCTTTATATACAGTATCCCGTATTCTCGGTCATCTCAAAACGAATTCTTATAAGAACTGACGAGTTTGCATGTTTTCAGTATACACTCAATCACACGCAGAACTAACGTTAATACTGATTTTTCTGTGTTGGTTCGATTCTTGTTGGTGCGATTGTGTTGGTTGATTCGTAGGTTCGATTCCCACCGTGGTCAGGCATATTTTTCAAGCTTGCCCGGTGTGGATATACACTCAGAGTAACATCACAAGCATCATGACGTTAATACGTTGTGTAACACTATCCATTGTTCGAAGATGCTATGAAAATCGGAAAATGAAACAATCTTTCCTGTTTTGAGGACCGTCCCCCCAAAACCGTTTTGGTTCCGAATTTGGTCCCGAATTTGGTCTCGAATTTGGTCCCGAATTCATCAGGTCCCCTAGCTGAGAGCTTTAGAAATTGATCATTTAATTAGTGATAGAGATGGAATACTTTTGTCATGCATACAATTTTCTTGGTACTGCATGCCTGTGTTACACGAAGCAATTTTTCCTGCAACTTTCAGGGTCATGTTATGTAGCTACAAAAGTAATCACAGAAAAACGGCTACCCTTGCTGCCGTTTCATCTTTTATGTAACGAAAAAGTGGAGAAGATAAAGGCCAGGTTCTCATTTCGTCTACGAGTATTTTTAAATCAGATTGTTAGTTGCAGGAAAATTGGCTCGTGTAACATGGCCTCTATATATTTATCCGTACAGTCCATGACGAAAAATAAATCATAATTACAAACTAAATTCCAAATATTAAAAACATTGTTCACGTTATGCTATGCTATGCTATGCTATGCTATGCTATGCTATGCTATGCTATGCTATGCATCCTTGGCGCAGCGAAATCCAAGGTTTGACGCCGAGCTATCTGGAGTGTTCTTATTCCTTGCGGCACATCTGTATCTGTAGCAAAACGACTATATATATAAAGAAAATATATAACGTTAATACTATGACTGCCACAAGCAAACAAAGTGCAGCTCAGAGGCGGATCTACAGAGGTATGCGCACTACTCCTACTGGTGTCCACCACCCCCTTGACGAAAACTCTGGTATTGAAAGATTGATTTTCGAGTACGCAAGAAAATATTCAAGCACTAATATGGCGGGTCGCTGTAGTGCTGTAACCATGTAGACAGTGTTAGCCTATACGTTAAGCGCATTAATTTCAGCGAGGATCAATCAGTATACCCGCGTATACTCCATATATACATTACGAATCATACGAGTTATACATCGCGAATTATTGGCGTTATGTATTGCATACGACCACTATCATAGGTACTTCATGCATGTTAGGAGTATACTATACTACAGTACATATCCGCATCGGATGTGTGCTCATGTCGCAAAAGCTGATATTCTGCTGTTTCAAGATTATTTCAACAAAATAATTAAAGTGCCCCTGACACAAAAATGTTTTTTCAGTCTATTGAAAGTACTCATTTAGTGTAGTGTTCTAGCCAAAGAATTTTTCGATTTCATCAAAACGAAAAAATTTTAGAGCCGTTTGAATCCAAATATTTTTGGCTAATGGCCGTCGGCGACAGAAGTCTGGCACTAGCATTTATACGCAAGTGAGTCGAATCTTGATGCCTGTTAAGTTATCTGTTTTAATCAGCTCGAAGGTTTTGATCGCTGAAGTGTTTAACTTTTTATATTCTAAGTTCTATAAAGTATCATGTCAATAGAATCAACAGAATCAGTCCGATGATTCCGGAGCGAATTTTATACCTGGTTAATACTTAATATGTTGTATTGGAAGATGCTGATCTGTAGCATCTCGTCAGGTCTCTAGTGGTATCATTAATACCAAATCTGCGACGCGGACGTGACGAAAAACTGCCGCTATTATCACAGTTTCACTTCACGGATAAAAACTGTTGTTGGTAAACAAAGTCAGGGACACGAGAAAAACAAAGTAAAACTAGTCTCCCATTTATATTAGCGATTGTTTTTTAGTCGCGCCATGTCTCAGATTTGGCGCATCTTTAATAAGCTTCCTACTAACGTAGACGTTCTATGACTTTGCAAGGTTCATATCTCCGGTACGTTCGGTGCATGCTATGAAGACAAAATTACTACCATACAATTCACTTTTCTTCGTCTTTTGGCTTCCGCGTGTTCGTCATTGAAGTATGGAATATTGTGTAGACTTATTCCATCTTTTAAATATGCTTTAGGGACCGGTCATTATTTATGGCAGGGGTGGGGGCCGAAGAGAAAATGGTGGGGTAACTGAAAAATAATAGTTGCTTTAGGTGGGGTGGCCAAAAAATCCTTGCATGCAGAGGTGGGGTAAAAAAAAATAACCTTACTTTAATCACACACAATACAATATATACTATTATCAGAATTTAATATGTGATTATTCTAATTTTTTAATAAAATATTATTGCTTTCCAAAATGTTGACAGAAACACCCCCCTCAACCCACCCGTAAAGGGTCATTTTTATATTCATTTACACACAAAATCTCAAAGACTCCAATTACCAGACAAAATATATACTGCCTATATATAGGGGCTGTTTATATGGTGCAACTGCAAGCCATCCCCAGGGTACCCAAGCTGGCCCAGTTTTGGCAAGATCCTGCCTTTGTTGTTATTTCTTACTAAAGTTCACCTTGTGTATATATGGGTAAAGAGCGGGCCCAGCTATAGCAACCCTCGAAATTCAACTATTTTTGCCTCGGCAAATAATTGCCGAAGTCTTCCGATAATTTTCGAGTTTGCCTCGGCAATGCCTCGGCAATTTTTTTGCCGAGGCACGCAATGAAATCACCTTAAATTCCTTCGGCAATTACTTCGGCAATTACTTCGGCATTCACGTCGCAGTTGTAATTAAAGTAAAGTACATACAGAAATTATTGTAAACAAATATTATAACGAGCGTAGATTCTGACGTTTGACAATTTGTTGTTATTTTACAAATTCCTGATTCAAAATGTTTTTAAAAAGTTAGTGGTAATTAACAACCAATTGTATGAAAGAATAAACTTGACGGTAATCACGCAACAGTCTAAAAGATAAAACAAAGTTTCTTGACGTGCCTTCTTTAAACCATCAAGATTGTTCTTCATTTCAACCGAAGCCGACGCTGAAAAGCTCAAATTTAAATGTTTTGTAAAGTAGCTATGAATGAAATATTCTGTTGTTCATTTGACGTCGATGACAACAATTCGAACAAAGAAGTAATACAAAAAACAAACACTGTAGTTTCTAAATTTAAGGGGGAAAACGAACAGACGCTGTAGTTTGTAATTTAAGGTACAACGGGTGGAATTGCCTCGGCATTTTTTTGCCGAGGCAAACTATGAAAAATCGTAACTTCCCTCGGCATTTGCGTCGGCAATTGCCGAGTGCCGAGGTGAATTTCGAGGGTTGTATAGCTAAGCGAGATCCCACCCCTTTAGCCCAAGATCTTGCTTCAGGAAAAGTGACCTTAAGTCTGTAGCCCCTAACCCCGGGCATCCAGCCTCACCCCCATATAAACATCCTCTTATTACATATCTCAAAAAGTATATGTACAGTCTATTAAATTTTCAGGATTTAATTTTTGGGCATCTACACTTGATACTGCATAACTAATATTGATATCCAGTATGTGCTTGTAAACCATGTGGACAATTCAGGTAGCAAATCATGAAATATGCCCCATGCCCCTTGTGAATCTGGAGAATCATTCCAATGGCTAGTTCACAATATGTTCATCTCTAGCCTTTGGCAACTAGCTGTTTTTCTTTACTAGCAGATCATGTATACATAGATAAAATAAGAGAAGTCTATTTACCCGTTTTACAGATTAATTTAATTGTTTACATAATCATACTTGGAATTCGGATGAATATCTTTATCTTCATACTGTATAACAGCAACTTTTTCTCATTAATTTACAGTAACTTTCTAAATTCAGATATTCTCACATGGGACAAATTAGTATCGTTGTATTGTTTACGAATTAAAATATTAAATTGATTTCATAAACTTCAATAATTCCTTGGGAATTCTTAAGGAATTCCTTTAAAATTCCATGATAATACATGTGATTGTCTATAGTAAGGAAATATTAAAGGAATTTCAGAGGAAATTTTAGAACTTAGATAGTTGCAATCATGGGTGAGCACATATTTTGTGAAACTGTTTCAAAATAAAATTGCATTTTAATTAATACAAAAATGCAAGAATGTGAAAGAAACCAAATTATATACAGTGAAACTTTAAAGTGGGAAAGAGATGGTGAAATACGGTTAGTGTTCTAAAATATTGAAGCATATGGTTAAAAAAATAAATATATGTTTATGCATGGGACTAGCATATTGCACTATCTCGTGAAAAGGGAATATAGCGTTGAATACAAACTATAAAAACCCATTCATATTTAAATTTTACAAGTAGACAAATTTTAAGCCTTCAGATAACTATAATTCTTTATATAGTACCTTAATTGCTATTGTAGGGCTAACCCATAATAAAGGCATGACTGTTGTGTGCTTTAATTACTCCACAAGAAATAAGGGGCAAGGGATATTGCTAAACAAGTATTACCAATCAATCCTATTCCCTTTTAATTATAATGTCCACTGTGGTCAAAGCACCCTATAATAATAATTATTTACTCTCTAACAGCAGATGATCTTACTCATCAAGGGCAATTTTGTACCTTGATGAGTAATACGCATACAAAATACTAAACTGTTTCATTACATATTTTATGTCTGAACCTTTGACATTGCAACAAAATAGGTTTGGGTGGGGTAAAAAAATTTTCTGGCATTCCACCGGTGGGGTAGCTAGAAATTTTGTTTCGAAAAAGGTGGGTAATGATTTTTTCCGGCTTCATTATACTTTCTCTTCGGCCCCCACCCCTGCCATAAATAATGACCGGTCCCTTATTGGTACAGTTAGCTGCAACACAGTAAAAAGGCATATCTTTTTCGATCACAAATCTACCTATATATCCGCCGAGAGTTGATAGTGCTAGTATAGTCGAATAATAGAATATACACCGACTCACTTGCGTGACGTAACAAAAATCGCTCGTTCCAGTTTTCTTCGAACACGGACGCCTGCCAACCGAAAGCCCAAATTTTGCGTGTTCAAACGGCTCTAAAATTTTTTCGTTTTGATGAAATCGAAAAATTCTTTCGCTAGAACACTATACTAAATGAGTACTTTCAATAGACTGAAAAAAATTTTTGTGTCAGGGGCACTTTAAATTTTCCTTTTCACCGCTGGGTTAAGACGATCATCATCCAGTGTGGAACATATTTTCTTGATTTTTGCCTCTAGTACCGTGAGAACAAATTTAAAGAACAAATTGTCAATAAATATAGTTAATGTTGCGAAAAATAGAAATGTGACGTCATCCCGTATGACCAAGTACTTTGAACTTTTAGGTCACGCCACCCTTTTTCTTTTACTTTCCACGCTGTTATTTAAAGGTTGAAAATAAATGTACAGTGGTTTATTAAACCACGAAAACCAATTAATTCCAATATAAATGTATTTCCCATAATGGAGGAAATGGCATATCAGGGTTTCAAATTTCAATTAAGGGGGTCTTCCAGACCCTCGTGCACCCTCTTCTGGGAAACCTCCATCCCCAATAACAAATGAGGCCAGATCTGCCCCCTGGTGTTGCTCAGAAAATTTTACCTTATGGCACATGTAGGATCCTCCTTTCTTCACTTTGTCTTGACCAGTAATAGGACCAATCTACATAAATATTTAATTTCGGTCAATTTGTATAGGTAATCATGCGATGGCGAGTACAATTAGGGATTAATAGTACGAGTGATGTTTGGAAATATTGCCAAAATTGGACGAGCCGCCGGGGCGAGTCCAATTTGGCAAATTTCCAAACATCACGAGTGCTATTAATCTCTAATTGTACGAGCAACATCGCATGATTACTTGTTTCATCATTAGCATGGATTCTCTCGCCAAAGCCCAATTGGATTCTCTCGCCAAAGCCCAATCCTGCCAGACTTTCAACCAAAATTTGGTGCTTTTTTCGTATTTTCATTTAGTTCTTTTGGTAAAGCAAAATTTGGTGCTTTTGTTCGTGTTTGGTGCATTTGTTCCTCTAGGGCAATTTCATTTCACATTTGTGTTTATGATACCTTACCGACATTTTGTTTGTTTTGGGAAAATCATTAATTGTACTGCAGTACAATTAATGAAATAATTGTACTCCTCTCAACCAATCAGCATCCAGTAATTTTGTCATGCTGATAATAAATTTATTTATTGTGTGTCTTTCTTTATTTAAAAAGATTATATCAGTAACAATTTACATATTTTAGTTTTGCATTATAAAATTAGATATTCTTATGCTTTGGTCTTTGCTGATTTTTACTTAATGAGGCTTCAGTAAACGCGGAGAGATTTTTATTTTTAATCCCGACTATAATTAAGGCAAGTCGTCATACTGGGGTGATCATCACAATTGGTGTACAATTCAATTCGAAGTTCTATCCATTTTCAGAATTTATGAAACCTCCTCATTTTTCGGGTATTTTAAAGTAAAACCTCTGCGACGAAGAGAAGATTTGGTCATAAAGACCGATTTCTCTATCAATCTGAAAACTATTCACACACAGGATATGATTGCAAATATTTTACGTACGGGATTTTCTTGAAAGTCTTGCGAATGTCTGATGCTCCACCAATCAGCTGTCCATTCCCAAACATTACCGACCATATTATAAAGGTCAAAATCATTCTGTTTAAATGTCCATACAGGTGCCGGTCCTGCGTGACCGTCCTCAGCATTGTCGAAAATAGGAAATTCTCCTTGCCAAGTATTACATTGATGTTTTCCTTTCACTTTAAAAGTATTACCCCAGGGAAACATCCTATACAGAAGAATAACATAACTTGATTTCATACGTCTATGTATAGACACTATCGTAATCAATTACAACTTTCTTCTCATTCAAGAAATTGATTCCCAACTATTTATTGAATAGAATTGAATTAAAAAATATAGCATGTCGTACTTTTTCTGCAATCCACCTCGACAAGCAAATTCCCATTCTGCCTCAGTGGGAAGGCGCTTATCAAGCCAGGAACAAAACGCCACCGCATCATTCCATGACACATGTAGGACAGGATGATCTAATCTGTATATTAAGAGAATAAAGTACAATAAATTGTCTTTGTTGTGCGTTCTTTAATTAAGGTTAAAAACAGATTGTATAAGAAATATCTAATGACAAAAAATGACTATTATAAGTCCAAATTTAAGCATTACCGAAACAAATTAAATCATCTGCAACGAATTAGCAAAAGAACGTATTACGAAAATTACTTTGCAAAAAATAATCTGAATATTAAAAATATCTGGAAAGGTATCAAACAACTTATTACTTTGAAGCCCAGGGGTAACAATATACCGACAAAAATTATTAAAGATAATCATGAGATAACAGTATAGTGAAAGACCCCACTCTGGCGGAATTTATAATGAGCTTGCAAAATCTTTGACGTCACTTTGTTCAGCTAACAATCTGGCGAAATTTATAATGAGCTTGCAAAATCTATGACCTCACTTTGCTGGGCAAGCCTGGGCCAAATGTGACAGGTAGCGCGACCAATTAGCGAGGGCAAGCCTGGGCCAAATGTGACAGGTAATGCGATCAATTAGCATCACAATACAGTAACATCACTATAAATACAGCTAGTGTCCTTTCACAGGCATAGTCTGTATTCAACACTCACGATGGAATGTTTTCACGGTAAATCAGCTGCTTGTTCTACAACTGCTCGTGGTACGTTTTGGTTTTGTGGCGAAACACCGAGCTGCGAGTTCTTTTGCCATGACGAAGACTGTTATCTGTTTACGAGAGCAATGGAAGTTTGTCAAAATAGTGGTTCCAATCATCCCATTTGCCCAACACATCAGAGATTGGCCAAAGTATGTGTGGTAAAAGATAAAATGAAAGATAATTATGGAAGACCCTTCTTCACGTGTTCTGATCGACATGATCCTTGCAACTTTTGGCAATGGGGAGACATTTACGAAAGCCCTCGACCACGCTGCAAGCACGGGATGGTATGCACCGTACGTCTGAAGTGAAGAAAGAAGGACCCACTCAGAACCGCCTGTTTTACTGCTGCCCTCAGATAGACTGCTGTGGATTTTTCGAATGGAAAGAGATCGAGCCTCGTGTGACCAAGACTGGCTTCGTCCTATTCAGTGATCCGCTACAATATCGATACAAGAATGAAGACACGGGAGAAACATTCACTAGTACTAACATTAATGCTAAGGAAGCGTATGAAGAATTTCTTAAGAAATATGAATAACTGTAGCAAAACGAAATAAATTGTTTTTATCATCATGAATGTGTTCTGTATGTTATTAAGATAAATCACTTACATTTCTTATTTGGGTTTTAACCTTTATGGTGAGAGGTTCTCTGGTGAGATGAATAATATAAATACAATTTTTGACGAGTTGAGACAAAATGAAATCGATATCGATAAGCAGACTTTATCGTTTCATATAAATGCAATCCTCGACCCCCATCGAGATCTATATCGTGAAGTGAGTGCTCATGGTCTAAACCTTGGCCAAGTTTACAGAGAAATAAATATGACAAACTTTGGTCGCATTTTTGCCTATTTAGCGTTAGTTTGTGTGCAAAGTGACAACGAGGAAAGCGTTCGAGAACATGTCCGAAAAACTATCGAGGCCTTTCGAACTTTTCATATCCCAAAGGCGAAAAGGAATAATAAACCATCAATTTTAATAACGCTCTCACTTACACTAATAGCTTTTTATATGTCAGTCTATGATTGCTGCATGGTTCATTTCGTTCTAACCTCTGAGGTGAAAGTCTTCCAGAAATTTCCCTCCGAGATATCTTTCGGAAAGTGCGTTGTATTTCCGCGTGCTGTAGAGGGAAAATTGTAATTCAAGCCTCAGACATTGATGGCAGAAAAGTACCTGAGCCAAATCTATTACAATCCAGAAAGTCCCGCAAGTTTTGGTGGCGTAGATTCAATTTACCGTGTCGTAAAAGACGAAGGCAAACATCAGATATCGCGGAATAAAATACGGCTATGGCTACAAAAGCAAGACACGTATACCTTACATAAACCTGTAAGATATCGTTTCAAACGGAACCGTGTCATTGTAGGCGCAATTGACGAGCAATGGGAGGCGGATCTTGTGATTATGGACTCGATAAGCAAATACAATGGCTTTAAGTACACTTTAACTGTAATCGATGTACTTAGCAAATATGCGTGGGCTGAACCGATAAAAACAAAGACTGGAGAAAATCTTGTTAAAGCCTTTGAGAAAATACTTA